AAAAAAAAAAAAGGGGGGGGGGGGAATCCCAAAGATTAAAAAAAAAAAAAAAGTGCACAAACTTTGCATGCATACACACATATCTTCTCTACCTAATCAAAAAATCAGTGTTTAGTACCCATGACCCAAGAACCCAAGACCAACTGCAAAGCAATGCCCCTGGCAACCACTCACTCACAACACCCTAGCAACTGCATAGCAACACACTTAACACGTTAGTAACGCATATGACTTGTTTGTATTCTGTTCTGTCTTTTCTTCAAAGTCTTAATCAAATTCTAGTTGAATCACTTCAAATCAAAGTCACTGAAATGCAATGTTGCTGTTCACAATCAGCTTGTGAAAATGGAGCTTTCTCGTTTTTGCACACGTTTCATTAATCTCATTAAACTCTGTTCTGCCCCCTGCAGGAGAAAGAGAAGAAGTACATGCTACAGGTGGACAATCTGAAGCTCAGAGATGTGGAGAAGGGCTTCATGTCCAGCAAACACATCTTTGCCCTGTTCAACACTGAGCAAAGGTCAGAGGTCATAATCCTTAAAAATGATTGCAAAAAAATATCATAAAAAGGCTTAACTTTTGTCATGGGATATAGTTAAGAGTGAAACAGGATTTTAGTGGGAACAAAGTGAATGGTTATGGGAAAAAATACAGAAAGAAAAATCATTTCAAAAGATGGTAAAGTAATTTTTTTAATATATTTTTTCTTTAGAATAACATGCATTGATGAATTAATCACGGAAAGATCAGCAATAAGAATTTCAATAGGCTCTTTTATTCTTGTAAAGCCTGACATATAAAGTAATAGCCATGTTTTTTATGTAAGTTTATTGAACCTTTAGACAATTTTTTTTTACTTTAAAGGGGTCATATGATGCTTTTTTAAAGATCATTATTTAGGCATGGCAGAGTCTTAACTGTGATAAAGAATATCTCTTTGGTTTTGAGACTTTAGTCTTTGCAACTTCAGGGATCTTATCTATGCACAAACAGCTTGTAACACTCCAAAGAGAAAGGAAAACTTGAAATCGCATCATATGACCCCTTTAAATGTGTTAGGGATGCTCCGGTCAGGATTTTTGCAGCCGATACCGATTTCTTGTCATGGTTATCGGCCGATACGATGCCGATTCTGATGCTTCAAGCTTTATATAGCATATGTAATAATGTTATATAAATAATCACAAAACTTATTCCTTATACAGTAACATTTTAATATACCTTTAAAATGGGGTTTATGCATAACTATGTATATCAGGATGTACATAGGACTTAATATAAGACAAAAATAAATACATACAAAATGGAGCAGCAACCCACAAAGTTTATTTCAACATTATCCAATAGTAAACTGCGGAGGACAAAATAAACATTTAATTAAAAAAATATATATTTTTTTACTCTTAAAATAACTAATTGGAGTACTTTGATGCAACTCATTAGGTTTAATTTAACATTGTCCAATGCTAGAGAGAGGACAAAATAAAAAGAAACATTTAAACTTCAACATGGAGAAGTCTGATGTAACACATAAGGTTTAATACTGTCCAATATAAGACTGAAGAGGAAAAAAGAAATAGAAACATTTAAACTACTGAAAGAACAAAACGGAATAGTTTGATCACGGTTATATCCACGGGCACTGCGGATAATCCGATCGAGTCATAAAATGTGATTATAAGCCGATCGATCGGAGCATCCCTAATGTTTATGTGTTTTTTGTTGAGTATCATATTTGATCATCAGGCTTTTCTGGAGAATGTGGAGGAAAAAACAGCTCAATTTTATTCAGAGACTCAAACTGAGCAAAAATATGAATTTGCTCCAGATGCTGATATTTCTATGATGAAATTCTGCTGCTTGTGCTGTAAATCAGTGAGATCTTTATAACAGTGCAGCAGATACTGAGATAAAATGATCGAAATATCAGGCATCGCTCTATATCTCCAGTAATAAGATGAGATGTAAATGCTCCAAACATATAATGCAGTGATTGAGAGCTGAAGAAATAAAGGCTCCTCAGAAGATGTGAGATGTTCTGGAGGCTTGTGGGGATCATTCCTCCGCTCAGGAACAGTGAAAGTAAAGCTTCTGGAAACAAACGCTCCTCAAAAGATCCTGAGGATCAGATTTGAGACTCTAAAACATGATTGATGGAGAATCAAGTAAAGCTGAGCTGCTTCAGTCCAGTAAGTGTTCATCTGGAGATATTACTGCAGTTATTCTGACGCTTACTTGATTAAAATCAGTCAAGATTTGACACGTGAAGTTCGAGCTGAAGCTGGACGTTTGTACAATTACACTAAAAGAGCTTTTAATTGCTAAAAAAAGTATGAGCAATCCATTTCAATTTTGACTATCATGTTGACTTTAAAGACTAATCTAATGCATGTAATGCCATGACAGGAACGTGTATAAGGACTACCGTCAGCTGGAGTTGGCCTGCGAGAGTCAGGAGGATGTGGACGGATGGAAGGCGTCGTTCCTGCGTGCCGGCGTCTATGCTGAGCGCGTGGTGGTGTGTGTTCAGATTGATCAGATGTGAGTAGGAATGCATAAATAGAAATGATGCACCTCAAAATGCTTTTCTCTTTCTCTCACGCTGCTTCCCGTGGCGTCACTCTAGGAGAAGGAAAAGGTACAAGCTTTGAGTAGCATTGAGATTTTCTATGTATCTTCTGCATTGCCGTTTTCTGTGTTTGTGTGATTGTGTCTGTGTCTGTCTGTAGAGCGACGCTGGAGATGAGAACGGGTCGGACGGTTTCATGCACTCCATGGACCCTCAGCTGGAGAGGCAGGTGGAGACCATCCGAAACCTGGTGGACTCCTACATGGGCATCGTCAACAAGACTGTACGAGACCTGATGCCCAAGACCATCATGCATCTGATGATCAATAATGTAAGCTCGTCTGTAGCAGAGATGCTCAAGTGGTGAAAGGTTGTTACTTCAAACCCCACAAGGGTTGATTCATGAACTATCATCAACTAAGACAGTCCTTAATGCTATAAATCATTTGTGATCCTGGAGCACAAAAGCAGTGTTAAGTCGCTGGGGTATATTTGTAGCAATCGTCTCGTCTGATGCGCTCACTCAACCAAGCGTTCTAACCACAACCTCGCCCCTCCCCACCCCCCAACCATTCCAATTTCTGTAGGAGGGAATTATTTGTAATGATATTCCAATGAGCCGCTTTGTGATATCACAAAGCCCGGAAACCAACGCTGTAGTCCAAACGAGCCATTCGTTGTAGTTCTTGAAAAGGGATTTTTAAAAAACAAAATATCTCCCTTTGGAGTGGACTTTGAGATTTGTAACTTTCTAGATCTTTTTTATGCCCAAACATACACACTACACACTGACTAAAATTAAAAAAGTGAAAATGCATAATAGGACCCCTTTAAAGGTGGTTTTCTCAATATTTAGATTTTTTTGCACCCTCAGATTCCAGATTTTCAAATATTGTCCTATCCTAACAAACCATACATCAATGGAAAGATTATTTATCCAGCTTTCAGATGATGTATAAATCTCAATTTCAAAAAATTGACCCTTATGACTGGTTTTGTGCTCCAGGGTCACATATTTCCAGATGAACACTTACTAGACTGATGCAGCTCGGCTTTACTTCATTGGATCACTGGATTGCATTGCATTATGTTTGGATCATTTAAATCTCATCTTACTAGGACATAATATTGGAGATATAGAGCGACGACTGATATTTAGATCATTTTATGTCAGTATCTGCTGCACTGCACAATCTCATTGATTTACATTACAAGCAGCAGAATTTCAATATATAGGCTAAATATCAGCATCTGCACCAAATTCATATTTTTACTCAGTTTGAGTCTCTAAATAAAACTGAGCTGTTTTTCCTCCGTATTCTCACTGTATCAGACTATATGAGCCATAAAAGCCTGAAGGATCAAGTATGATACTCAACAAAAAAAATACATATGCACACTTTTAGATTTCCCTAAATTTTAAAAACTGAGATTTTTCTGACTTACCCTGAAGAACACTGACGTGAGTCTCTGCTCTCTCAGACGAAGGAGTTCATCAATGCGGAGCTGCTGGCTCAGCTGTACTCGTGTGGAGATCAGAACACGCTGATGGAGGAGTCGGCCGATCAGGCGCAGCGGCGCGACGAGATGCTGCGCATGTATCACGCGCTCAGAGAAGCACTGAACATCATCGGGGACATCAGCACCACCACCATCTCCACCTCTCTGCCTCCGCCTGTGGACGACTCCTGGCTCCAGGTGCAGCGCACCGGCTCCGGAGGAAGGTGCGTTCAGGACGGAGAGGACAGATGGATGACACACGGATAAACTGATGGGCTAAAATTATGATTTCAGTGGGGAATGAAAGTCTTGATGTAGAAATAGGTCTTCGAAATGTCAGTGAGAGTTTTAATTAATTCTCTGCTGCTAAACACTTTATTTATAATAATTTTATGTTAATAAATGGCTATTCTATTATTATTATTATTACTATTACTATTTAATTTAACAGTTATCATTTTAGATATTTTGGCATTATTATATAATGAGCCAATCCTACAGATCTCCAAAATCATCACAGTGAAATAAGTAAAAGTAGTAAAAGGTTATATGAAGTATATATAAGCTATTATAATAATAGTTTTTTTAAGTTGTAAAAGGTCATTGAGTACAATAGTATTCTATAATGAAATAAATATATACTTTAAATACTTTATTATTCTAAACCATAATAATAATAATTATATTTCATTTATTAATGTAATAAGAGTTCATGGAGTACAATATTATCCTATACTGTAATGAATACATACTTAAAATACTTTATTATCATAAATCATAATAATTCTTATATTTCATTTATTAAAGTAGTAAAAGTTCATGAAGTACAATAATATATTATACTGTAATAAATATATACTTTATTTATTATAAACCATAATATATACAGTACTTACAGATACATTGTGTACTTGTATTAATTTACTCTTCCTGTTTGGGTTAATGCTAGGCTCATGAATATTAATTATATTCTTTGAGAGGACAGTTCAGGAAGGTTCCCTGGCAATGTCAGCAGAAACTCATTAATATTCATGAGCTCAGCCTTATGTCATGATGTCAGAACCAGACACCTCAATCAGTTTAAAACAACTGATATCCATTAATACGCCACAAATTCTCAGTTACAGAATGGGATGGTAGCGCCACCTGCTGCTGGAATGTGAAATGAGCTTACTGGCCACCACAAAATCCTAAGAGATGCCTAAAATTAAATATGTAATTAAGAAAAGCTGATTTCTGATTATTCACTGCCTTTGTTGCTCTTTAGATTGAACTTTTAGAATGTGATGCAAAACAGTATATGTAGTGGCAAATAAAATAAGACTGACTTTGATTAAGTTATCATCACCGAAGAGAAATTTGTTATTGTTGTTGCACAGACAAAGGTAAGAAAAAACTTAATAAGAAGAAACAATATTTCTCCGTTAGGTCTCCGGCGACCAGCCCGACCCCTCAGAGACGGGCCCCTCCTCCGGGGCCTCCGGCACGCCCAGGTTCTCGCGGCTCGGCCCCGGGGCCCCCTGCTGCCGGCGGGCCACCCGTTCCCTCTCGCCCGGGAGCCTCTCCCGACCCCTTCGGCGGGCCCCCACCTCAGGTCCCGTCCCGGCCTAACCGCGCACCTCCCAGCGTGCCCAGGTGAGACTCAATTACATCAGACAGTAGAAACTGCTAATGAAATAACGTATTTGTGCTGGAAAACAATCATAATGCACTCAGATTGAGGCATAAATATGTGTAATTTCTGCAGCACTAGCACCAAATGGAGTTGCAATCTGCAGGTCTATATGTTTGTCCAACCAATGGAAGACAACCAATTCTGTCTGATGTTGCTAGTGCAGCAGAAATGATACACAATGTCCATGAAACGTTCAGAAATGCTCAAACAAGACTAACCTTCTAGTCCTGCAGTCTAATAACATCCGTTTGCTCTTAGCCGCGGAATGTGAGACTCTAACCGCTGGAGTAAGAGCAGTGGTGTGGGTGAGTTAACCGGTCACCATACCAACGTTTAAACCATAAGCAACCATCACTGAAAGTCATCAGATCAGATTCAGATGTCCACAGTCTGGCGTCCTGCTTCTGACTCTTATTATCGTTCAAACGTTACAGATTTAAACCATATTAGATGCACAGTGTGTTCTCAGTAGGGCTGGGTGATATAACAAATATTCACAATGAGTTTAATACTGTGAATATTGTGACAATTTTTCCTATTTGTTCAAAGATCGGATCATTAGACTAGGTTCAGGATTCTTCCTTTTCTCGTGACAGAAATCTCTGCGTGGCATTTTTCATATATTACAATGTTTTTACCAAAAATACACTACCAAGGGCAAGTTTATGAAAGTCTCTTCTGCTCACCAAGGCTGCATTTATTTGATCAAAAATACAGTAAAAATTGTGAAATATTATTACAATTTCAAACAGCTGTTTTCTATGTGAATCTCTGTTAAACTGTAATGTATTTCTGTGATGCGCAGCTGTATTTTCAGCATCATTACTCCAGTCTTCAGTGTCACATGATCTTCAGAAATCATTCTAATATGCTGATTTGCTGCTCAACAAACATTTCTGATTATTATCAATGTTGAACACAGTTGTGCTGCATAATATTTCTGTGGGAACCGTGATACATTTTATTTTTCAGGATTCACAGATGAACAGAAAGTTCAAAAGAACAGCATTTATTTGAAATAGAAATCTTTGTAACATTATAAATGTCTTTACTGACACTTTTTGATCAATAAAAAAAAAAAAAGTAATGTATCCTTGAAAAAAACAATCAAACTGAACCCAAAATTTTTAATGATAGTGTAAATTATAAATATTAATTTAGAAAATATAATTTTTAAGTAGTTGTATTGAAGTTTTATATTATAAATACACATAAAAATGTATACATTTATAGTGAATTTGTAGTAAATGTAAGTAATAATTTATTTCAGAAAATATCTTGCATACCCCAAATTTTTAAATGGTACTTAAAGGATAGTTCACCCAAAAATGAAAATTCTGTCATCATTTACTCACCCTCATGTCGTTCCAAACCTGTATGAGTTGTTTTCTTATGTTGAACATAAAAGAAGATATTTTGAAGATTGCTTGATTGAGGGTGAGTAAATTATGACAGAATTTTCATTTTTGGGTGAACTATCCCTTTAATATACAGGTATGGATAAAAAAAAAACTTACAAATTGATTACTTTAACTGTCTTTTCCCTGTGTTTAACATCTTGTATTTAGCATTCTGAATCTTGCCTATGATTGTTTAACTGAAACGATGCATGATGGTACATCAAAATATCATCAAAAGGCTTATAAATATAAGTCATTTGAATGCTTTAACTATATCACCCAGCTCTAACAGTCAGCATATCTCATGTATGAATGTCTGGATCACGTCGGCACACATCAGACGCTTTACTAACTGTCCACAGGACGGCCACGAGGGATGTTTCTGTTTTTATTTGTGTTCATTGCTGAATTTGTCCTCTGTTGCGTGTGATTTGACTCGTTCTAACACTAACGGCAAGCGCTTGCTTCCTGGCAGCAACACACACACACACACACACACACGCACACTTCCCAGCAGTCGCTCACACACCTTTCATTCTGACCCGTATTAAATCCTAACTTTAATTGCTGAAGTCCCTGATAAATGATTTGCACACTGATCTGCAAAACCTCTGAATTGCTAAATCTGCCAAAATCACTTATCGCTGACTTACAAGACTTATCGCTGATGCTTTTGAATTCATAATTGGCTGTTAAATCTTCAGACAGAGGTTTTGGACGTCAGTCTCTGGTTAGCTTGGATTGGAGAAGTGTTGATGTTTCTGTCTCCTCCATGTTAACTGTGTGTGTGTCTCGCACATCCTCCCATCGCTCTGGCTCCACCCCTTCTGCTGATATTGATTATTTTTCACAGAATTACAATCAGTGACCAATGAGGACGAACGCTTCTGGTACGTCTGTGGTTCTCTCGCCATTCCCCGTCCCCCTCTGCATGACCGACTGTCTCTGAGACCCTCCCACACACACACAACTGTCCAGAAATGATCTATTGGGATGCTTTTATTTGCATAAACAATAATAAACTCTTTACATGGGAATGTTCTGGTTAAATGCAACCGAAGCTCTAACATGCAGTTGGTTTTCTATAGACAGACTGAGGGATGAGTCAGTTACAGTATGTTCTGTGGTAAATCAACAGCGTATCACGTTGTATTTAACACAGAATATTCTTCTACATGTTTATAGCAGATCTAAATGACTGAATGTGAAAATCTTTCCAACAGCCAATCAAATCCTTGTCCAGCTTGCATCTCGTTTGCTGATTGGTGATTTTTTTTAGATGGACAGCAGGTCTCAGAACAGATTCTGTAATGTGCAAACATTACATCAGTTCTCTGAATGTGTGCATCAGGTTGATTTAGTTTCAGTTTTATTTCATTTCATTAAGATCTGAAAAGCCTTTCCTTCTGCAGCCCCGTGCACTTGTTTTATTTCAGTTTTGTTATCGTTATTTATGATCCCTCTTAATAAAAACCACTACAGACATCCAGTCAAATGCTGCACATGTGACCTTTAGGGTGAAACTGAACAGTGGGGTCAAAGGTGAAGTGTCAGATGTATTTTGTCCTTTCATGGCATCTCATTCTGTCATTGCGTGATCTCTGAATGCTGTTAAACATGTTTCAAAACATGTCTCTGTCTGCACAGGATCAATATTGATCAACCACACAACACTTATGCACAGATCTATCAGTCATGGATTAGTAATACCTAATACACAGCAAATGGAATTTTTAATTACATTTTATTTGTTAAGATAATGTCAAAAAATGCTGTTTTGCTTTTTTAGAATAAACAAACAAACAAATAAATAAATAAACCGTTTATTTAATTTTTATTTGATAAAAAATATTAATAATATTACTAAATTATTATATATTAAAAAATTTTATTATTTATTTTAGAATTTAATTATTTAATTATTATTAAACTGATTTCTTGATTTTGTTTAGAAAATGTCAAAATGCTGTTTAATTATTATATAATAATAATAATAATTAAATAATTCATTATTATATAAAAATAATAATTATAAGTAAATTTTTATGTTTTTAGTTATTTCTTTTAGAATTTATTTTATTACCATTAAATTAATTTCTTGACTTTGTTTAGATCATGTCAAAAATGCAATTTCAGTTTTTTTTATAAATAAATAAATAAAGAATTGATTTAAAATTAATTTTATTAAAAAGTTATTAATATTATAACAAGAGATATTTGATTCACAACTTTGGCAAAACTATGAGATTAAATATCCTGAATGATGATGCTTTCAGTAATTTACTGTATTTTACTTTTATGAACTCTAATGAGAGAAAATTATTCAATTTCTCAGTGCAAAAATGTTTTACTTTCTCATGTGAACGAAATTCTTTCACATTTAATGAACATAATTTTGTGGATGTTTGCTGTGTGTGTGTGTGTGTGTGTGTGTGTGTGCTACTCATCCATCTTCTCTCTGTGTTCCCATGGCAGCCGACGACCCCCAGCATCACCTACTCGACCCAACCGACCCACAGACTCCTCCCTCTTAGACTAGTAGCCCCTCCCACATCAGTGACAGGCAGCGAGAACAGACACGCCCACTCAGCCAGAACTCCTCCCCTTCTCTCTCCTCAACTCACACACACATTAATACACATCATACAACTCTACAACCCTCTGTCACAGTTTAACCTTTCATTTCACATTAATTCTGTCATCATCAAACCAAAATGTAGAAAAGGAAACATACTTGAGGAACTATTGACATCTTGAGAGCTGGAAGTTCGAAAGCCCTTATTTAGGAAACGTAGAACACAACATTTTTATGAACTCAAACTCTTTGACAGACGGTTGATGAGTTTTACATCACTGTTTATGCTGCTTATCTTCAAGAATGAGCTTGATAAGAAAAGTTAGATGAATGAGCACAGGGTTTGATAAATGCATTTCTGTCACTTTATTTACTTTCTGTCATCTTTAAGCTTCTTTTGGCTAGCAGACGCTTGATTTCCTGCAGTTTATGGATGCATTATCTCTCCAAAGTGTGATCTGGAGTCTCATGATAACTGCATCTTCTGGAATGAGCTCGTGTGCATCTGTATTTCTGTTCATTACTTTGGCTCTTTTTGTTTTTGTTTCGTATGCTGCAGTGGTCCCTGAGCTCACGGGCCAGAAGACGACACCAAACCCCCCCGAAGGGTAATAAACTTTCCCATAGTTCCACAGTCCTTATTCCACATGAGTCTTTCCCTCTCTGAATCACGAGTCTCTTACTGTATGTAGGCTGAGAAAGTCACTGACAGTAAAGTTGCACACTTCTTTAAACCAGCTTTAAAGCTTGGACAAGGTTGTTTAAATGTAAACATTAAGTCATTAAGTCAACACTATAATAACTTGCACTTAAGCCACAGTTAAATGTCTGAATGTCATTACATTCGATAGTGACAAGAGTTTTTCACAAAGGTGTTTATGAGGAAAACTCAACTGATTCAAATGAATCATATGGTTCATATAATGATTCACTTTTTCGAAGCGCACGCTGGCGACACCTGCTGGTCGAAACGGTGTAAATACAACGAGAACATAGCACAATAAGATAAGACGACGCCTTACAAACAATCAATTTTTTCATGTGTACTCGATTAAATATAGTCTACAAATTATTCAATATTAAGTCTATGTATATTTTGTGTTCTATTATTAATTTATGGTCCTTTGTGTGTTTTTGAGAGAGTTTGATCAGGCCGATTAGAGACACGTATACATACTTCATCAACGCTGATCTAAAATTATAAAGCTGACCCTAGATCAGCAAAACATTAAACACTGGTTCATGTGTTCACTGAGATCTTTCATCGAAACGTTCGTAATGAATCACATGACTCCGAACCACTGATTCAAATAAAAAGATTCGAATCTTCACGCAGCAGTGTTTTGAAAGCGCCCATCACTAAAGCAAAATACGTCCGAGTTTAGACTAGTTTAAATCAGATTTTATAACCATTAAACACTTTGTTTGACAGTTCATAATGTTATTTACTGCACGGCGGCAGAGAATAATCCGAGTCTTACCTGTTGTCGAGTCGATACAAGCTCCTAATGTTTCCTCATATGACATTTAAACCGGGCTTAGGTAGAAAACACACAAAGTTTGTGTGTGCGCCATCGTCTCCTGAGGTAATTCCAACTTAAAACAAATAAAAATATCAATTAAAAGTTTCGTTGTCGCCCTAAAAATAACGGGGGGGGGGAAATCCTCTAACGGCATTTTTAACCGAGCAATTTGAGTCGCAAGTTGGCGCCAAATTTTGAAACGCGGCAAAGCGAGACCGCGGAGTGATACAAGATGCGTGACGTAGGCACAAACATTTCTTAAGATTTAAAGTTAAATGTTTACAGTTTACAGTTAAATGTATTTGTTAATATATTTGTTAAAATGTAGTTATTGTAACGGTATCATTGAAAAATTAATCGATGAGCGCTGATTATTCAGGCATATTTGACCACTTAATGACGTGATTGACCAATCAGAATGAAGTATTCTAGAGCGGAGAGTACTAGAAAAAAACTAATAAAAATAAATATGTACGAAAATAAGATTTAAAAATAATTATTTTTACTAAAATAATTTTAAAAAATTTAAAAATAAATAAATAATGCTGTACAATACTATAGTAGAAAAAAACGAAATAATGTAACTTAATTTAAATAAATTTTATAGTATTAATTTTAGTCTTTAAACATATAGCTGACTTTTAAAAATTCAATAAAAACAATAATTAAATTTTATAATCTAAATAAAATACAGAGAGATTCCAAAATAATCTGAAAAGTTTTAAAGAGCTGCAGAATTAGATTTTTTCTTTCATACAATGACTGACATTTAGACATTTTAGGTGTGACTTTGGTGAACAAATACTTTATGTGGCCACTATCTAACATTTCTTCTTGATTCTAAATGAATAACATGTACACTATTATGTAATACTGAATGGAAGAGAGGGTTTGTCTTCTCTCCGTGTGACTCTGAGGACAGTTTCTGCTGAGCTTTCTTTTGTCTCGATGCTTACTCTTCTGTCTTCTTTTCTTCTCTGCTTTCATGGCTCAGCCGGTCAAACACAGCGGCCCTTCTCGCCCCGAGAGCCCCTTTTCTCCACGAGACCCTTAGCATCGCTTTCTTCTTCTGTTCCTCCCCACATCAAGTAAAGCAACCCAAGCACACCAACCCAGAAACCTTCGAGTTGCTGTCTTTGGTTAAACTTCCTTCAAGCTTCAAGCTCATTGTGGAGATCCAGGACCACAACCATCAAACCTAGAAACTCGTTAAAGGGATCGTTCACCCAAAAATGAAAATTCACCCTCATGTCGTTTCCAACCTGTACAATTTCCCCAAAAAACATTCTGAAGAACTAAACGGTTTCGGGTCCCATTGACTGCCATTGTTTGGACAAACAGTACTGTGAAAGTCAATGGGACCCAAAACCATCTGCTTCCCAACATATCTTTTTCTTATCTGTTCCAAAGCCATTTATTCCCCACACTGCAAACAATCATTATTTCCGTCTCTTTTTCTTGTTACTAGCTACTGTAAAACCTGAAAAAAAGCACTAAAATAGGGATTTCCTTGCGGTGCAAACGTTGTGCCGATGTAAAAGCTCTCAGGTACGAGGACGTGTGTTCACCCTCAGTGCTTGTGCTCAGAAATCATTCATTCATTAGTGAATCTGAACCTTCGGTGGGGCTGGATTGAATTAGAGAGTGCAATATATTCACCGGTCAGCCGGATCTACATGTCATTTAAAACACAATAGTGCAGTTTTAGGGTGAACAGACATTCTGGAGTTCGGTGAGATGCTTGTGTGTTTACAAATGATTTAATAAACGAGTAGAGACTAATGCTGAAGACTGTTGAGCGTTCAGGACGAATGATCACGTCGGGATGGTTTTCCACACACAGGCTGTGTTTAGAATTGAATACTTGCTGTACAGTATACACTGCTTACTGTTTTTAACAAATAGTGCTCAAATCAGTGCTAAACAGTGGTATGCTACATTGCATGCTTAATTTTCGCAAGAAAATTAGTTTTTGCATTTTTTTATTTTTTGCAAATGTAGTCAGTAATGTGGGTATTCATACAGATCATATGCACACTGTGCATAGTGTATATACTGCAGAAATAGTTACAGTAGTATGATATTCTGAACATAGCCACATATGATTAAAGGTGCTGTACGCAATTTTTAGTTTAACTTACCACATTGATTCCACCACATCCATCAAGCCACAAACTGTTTCTTATTTGATAAAAATTTGATTCTTTTTGCTGGGATATTAAAAATAGTTACTAAAAATAGTAGCACCAATGGACATTTTTCATGTGTGTGTGGACAAACTGTCCCTGTGCATTGAAATGATGCAAATGTATCTCAAGTCTGATTTTCCTGTCTGTAATTTAAGGTTTCGTTATGAAAATCAAGATCTAGCAAAAACGAAACGTTAAATATCACTGCTGGGCTATGCATAGAAATCATTCCAGTTTGTTGAGAAGGAGAACATATGAACACAACCCTCCACAACGGTGGACTGTAATTCTGTCGTTTGTTGTAATAATTCTAAAGATAATAAAGCCCCTGTTGCTGATAGTTGGCGTTGTGGCATGACCACACAGTTTTAACTGTACCGTATATCAACAGTATGTTTCTGTCTTCAACATGCACACCAAACCTTCCCAGAATCCACTCGGGAGTCTTAGTAAAACCCACTAACCAGAAAAGATTTACCGTTATTTAAGAGTCTGTCATGGACATACTGTATTTTAAGTGTGTGTCAAATTGTGCTTCCACTGTTTAGAGACTAGTCCACATGTATGATTATTGAATATTAAATTATTATGGGTAAATAAACCGGGCCTCTTTCTGTGTTTGGACAGAAAGGTGTTACAATACTGAGTGTGTAACGGGTGAGTGAATGTGTGTAACTTGTCTCTGCTTGGACGGGTTTGTCATCATTAAAGTTCAGTGTACCAAAATGTTGTTTTTGTCTCGTTTTTCTTGTCTTCAGAGAACTTAAAAGATATTTTTAGCATACAAGTCAAGTATGAAATGAAATGCATTGCTGCCACAAAAGAAAAAAAAATCATGTTTTGGTAAACCACAATTATGACCTAAAAAGTCTAAATTATTACATAAAAAGTTGCAATTATGAGGTGCATCAAAATTATACTTGCAACTTAACTTTTTATCTCATAATTATGACTCGGTGTGTCAATTTAGACTTTTAACATCAGATTTAATATACAATCATGCCTTTTTTTATCTAATAACTATGACTTGATATTTTTTTCATGACTAACTCAAGTATGAGAATCAAAATTTACATATTGAGTCATAATTATGAAATAAAAGATCATAATTATTAAATAGGTCAAAATTATCACATAAAAAGGCAAAACAGTTGTCATTATTTTCACTTGTCTTAATGACTTGTCATAATTACATTAAAAAACTAAATTATGGCAAAATAATAATTATGAGATACCAAGTCACAATTGTGAGATTATAGATAAATTATAGACCAATAGAATTATAGATCTAAAATTATGACTTAAGATATAATTGAGATAAACATAAAAAAATTGATTGAGGTTGTCAAAATTGACCAATCAAATCATAACTGAAGAAAAAGTCCAAATTGACATACTAAGTCATAATTATGATATAGTCAAAATTATGACAGTCCTAATTATTACATAAATAATCAAATCAAAATTATGACAATAATGATAAAAAGTTACAATTATGACAGTCACAATTATGAGTCAAAATTCAGTCATAATTATGAAATAAAAAGTCAAAATTATGAGATAAAGATTCAGAATTATGACAAATTGAGTCTTAATTGAGAAAAATCTAAATTAACAAGGCATAATTATGGGATGGTAAGTTATAATTAATAACCAAAATGGTAAATTATAATTACGAAATCAAGTGATTATGAGATTAAGTCATAATTATGGGGGAAAAAAAAAAATCTAAATTATGATACTAAGTCACAATAATGAGATTAATTATAAAAGTCAATTATGACAAAAGGCAAAACTGTCAATTAGTATATAAATTTTAATTTTTATGTCATAATTATGACATTGTTACTTAGAATTTACCAAAGCATGTTTTTAATGTGGAAACATTCAAAGTAGTCTCTCAGTGAGGTCATTAAAACAATGCTGATTACAAGAGCTTTAGCAGTACATTAACAGTATATACAACAAATACTTGAAACCATGCATTGCATCTCAACCTCAACAGAGAATGAAATCATATTCAATTCCCAAATCATGAACTTCAGACATAAAATGGGCTTCATTTTGCTCAATCAGGTTTATTTAGGAGGAAAATCATCACTCTAACTACTCATTATTCCTTCATTGTGTTCCATCAGTCTAGAGTAAAACAGATTAGTGTGTAATTATCCCAAATAAATAGAATTCTCCTTTAGTTCAGCCGCAGTATGAAACCACACAAACACCCCGTCCTCTCTTCGCACTGAGTCTTCAGCAGGCAAACGCAAGCCTTCCCCCAGTCAATATACAGTATGATACACAGTTACACTATTTACACGTCTGTTACATGAACAAGCAAAACAATCAACGTCTGATTAAAGCCCACGCCCAAAACAATCACTGGAAAATATATTCATACATGGAGAGCGCAGATGGAAATGATGCAGAAGCTCGACACTCACAAAAGTGCAGCAGGGTGAAACACAGTATTCAGATGTAAACTCGATCCACACGCCTTCCAGTTATAACCGCACACATGACTTCAGTTCTTCAGGTGAATACAGATACGGCAACACTTTCTATGAAGCCTGCGTGTAAATATAATGCATTAGAGAGCCATGCACAATGCATTCTACTTCAGAATTGGTTGAATGTTTTTGTAAGTACCTGTAGATTAATATGCATACACTTCTAAAGAGCATAATGCATGCAAAATGCATCACACTCTTTAAAGGTGTAGCTGCGATTACATTTATTTACAAAAACATAAGACATGAGGAAGAGCTTTATCTTCACAGAAAGTGTTGCCAAATCTGATGGTGGAGGATGTTTATGAATGAAATCACCGTTCAATATATCTTCATATATTCTCTAGTATATGTCCAGCTCTCATAAACGCTTTATCATTCAATCCACATACACACACCACTCCAAACTCTCGGCTGACGGACGCTAGCGTCATAAAGTTAGCCGCAAACAATCGCCAACATCTCGAAAGCTTCGACGTCACGCAGTCTACAAAAAACAGGTGCTCGTGTGTTTTTAGGGAAGAAATTATAACTACATCTTTCAATAAATCCCAATTAGAAAAGCAAAACAACTCGGTTTTAAACTTCTTGTGTTTACTGAACACTCTCGGCTCGATTCTAACCTACAATGTGATGCATAAAGCATCGAATCAGATCGAATGATTCATCTATAAATGTTTAGTTCTGATTCATTTCCTTCTCAGTAATCTGCCCTACATAAACACTTCATCAAATGACAACATTCTTGAATTATTTAGAGCTATAAGAGTTAAAGTTGAATTAAATGCCAGGTACAGCCAAAACACAAATAATAATAACCAGACAAAAAATTATAATGTGGGACTTTAACAAAACAGAAGACAGAAAATGTCACGCATGGATTCCAGGAACATTTTTAAGTGATTTATCAAATGGTTTTAGGATTCGCACGCTTTCTGACTAATGCATTTCCATGTTTTCTTTTGTTTTCTCCAGTTGGATTGACTGGGAAAGAAAAAAAAATTAACAATCACACTCAAAGGTATTTCTTGCTGAAGAAATAGTTTAAAACTGAGCATAAGCGGAAAAGATTTCTGAAGACTTTTCCTTTTATACTATAAATTAATGTATTAAAATAATATTGCTATTATTAAAACTGAGCATAAGAAAAATGTATACTGAGTACAGAGTATTGGACTTTTCCTTGTATATTTTAAATATATGAAAATATGCTATTATTAAAATTAATTATTATTAATATCATTAATTAAAAACAAATAGTTTAAAAATGAGCATAACTAGGAAAATTTATATTGACTGTAGAAAGACTTTTTTTACTTTTATATTTTCAATTAATGCATTAAAACAATATTGTTTTAGTAGTGATAATTATTACTTATTAATATGACTACTATTAATTAAAGAGAAATAGTTTTAAAC